TGACCTAAAAGAGTTTGAACATATGTATTCGCATTCCGACTTTTTAAATGCCCATTTAATTAGGTGTGTGAATTTTTTCTTAATAAGAATGTGAGGCAAAGTGGTATATAGGGTAGAAAAATCAAAACTTTGAACAGATTCAAAATCACCAATATATGCATGCAATTTATCAAGTACTTCCAACGAGTTTTTGACACTCCAAAAGTAGTTAATTCCACTATTTTCAAAGGCCTTATTTGAATAATTTATTATCAGGTTTTTGATTGTACCAAGTGTACTAGTAAGTAGAATAGACAATTTAGTAGTGGAACAATGACTTGAAGACGAAATAAATCTATATTTGTAAGGTGATTTGTGTAGCTTCGGAATCCAGTACATAGTTGGGACTTTCATTGTATTTGGTTCTGCTTGTAAAGAAGTAGCTAATAGTTTATGTTTGTTACAGATATCGTTTTCTGAAAATGAAGTCAGTTGGAATGTTGGTGAATTCGTGATTTCCTTTTGCAGAACCTCAATGTAAAATTTACGTCAAACTATAATGATATTATTAGCAACTTTATCAGCCGGGACAAAAACAAATTCCTTGGCTAGTTCTGTTAGTTTATGTTTGATACGAGAAATAGGATTTTTATGGTTGTTGTTAAGAGTAAAATGTTCTTTAAAATGTTGTATACGTATATCAACTATCTTCATTACTGAATTAAAAAAAGAGTCCAAAGATTTTTTGTCAGCTTTTTCCCGTTTTATCCATTTCAAACAGTAAGCACGAAGTGAGTCGTGGATGATATTACGACACTCATTCCAAATAATAATTGACGGGGAACGATATTTAGGTCCTTTACTGAGGAATGATTTTAACTCTCGGTCGCGAACGATGTTGAGGTCTCCAGTTATAACATGGGAAATGGGGCCATAAGTGTATTCGGAATTACTACAATTACATGACGGAGGTGTATTTTCACTGATATTTACATCTTTACAGACTTGGCTATAATTAAACACAAATTTTCGGGTAGATTTCTTGTAAATATAACAAATAAGAGGGAGTTCAGTATTATCAAAATATCCCGGAATTTGTTTTCTTTAACAGAATGGTCGTTAAAAATACCGGCAATATTTACAAAATCAAAACCTTTATTGACATACTTTATTTTTTGGGAAACAGTTTAGAATAACAATATGCCATTATAATTTTAACGATTTGTATAATTTGGTGCATACATTGCAAATGTTTTAACTGTTTTATGTGTAATTCTGTGAATCTAATTTCATTTTTGTATGTGGTGAGACTATAATAAAATATTGAATCTGAACCTGAATCTATAACTGCACGTTTTTATTGAAATTATTGAAACGAGAATAACATTTTGGTAGTGTATACTAATAGGAGTAATCCAAAGATAGATATTTTAGGTATAGGCTGATTGAAAAAGACAGAAACAATGTTTATTCTATGCTGTCATTCAAGGGCATTCTGATTATATACGAATGTTAGAACGTCATATTATATCAAACAAATTTCAGTTATGTGGAAACATTTTTTTTTATTTATTAAATTGACTTAGTTGAAAATTAAACATAACCTTTTGAAGTTAACATTACTTTTAGCGACACAATCTGATTAAAAAGTGTCCATGAAAATAAAAAAAAAAGTTTACGAATATTCATTTTGGATATTCAACCGAGATATCGGTTTGAAGATAAATATTTCGTACTTGGCATTTGAGTTTACACATAGTATGATAAAAATAAATATAATTGTCGATCTTTCGAATGATTGTCATAAAATTGGATAATGGACACAGTAGTTATTTCTAATATTTATATTCAACATATTTCGTTAAGTATCAAATTTGAAGTAGAATATATTAAAAATCCATTATCACTTAAAAAATTAAAAGCATTGACGTTTTCTGATTTTATCGTTTTTGGTGTACATGTACGATCTTATTGCCTGAATACATTTTCCGCCAGTGGTCAAGAATTTGGCTTGGTATATATATATATATAAAACAGTCACTTTTAACATTTCCAGTTGATCTGCATTAGACTAGGTAAGAAACATTATTTACATATTAACATATCACGATTATCAGTTACATGGAGTTTCATGAAATATTTGGTGTCTGTAATGTTGCACATGAATCCTATACATATAATGTTTGATATCTATTTGATTTCCATTGAAAACAGTATGCTAGATATGAAATAAAACGAGACCAAAATAAGAATTTCTAACAACTCTATTTTTTCGTCAGTGCTTTTTAAACGTAAATGCACTAAGATATAACATTTTAAGCCATTGGAATTTTGTTAATTCACTCGCACTAAAAATACCCGGACTATTCTCTAAAAAACCCAGACATATAAAAATGAATTTATTCTGAAAATGTCCTTTTCAATACAATTTTACAAATTTACAAGAGTACCGGAGTTCCATCATGACTTCGGAAAATTTCGTATATACTCGACAAAGTACGAAAAAGGTAAAATAACAAAAATACCGAACTCAAAGGAAAATTCAAAACGGAAAGTCCCTTATCAAATTGCGAAATCAAAATCTCAAACACATCAAACGAATGGAAAACAACTGTCATATTTCTGACTTTGTACAGGCATTTCCTGTATGTAATTCGTATACTTAAGAAAAAAAAAAGTTGCCATGGTGTTGTTCGTTTTTCTTCGACTTGTAATTCCTAGGGCGCAAGGAGCGCTTGATTTGTGTATGAAGATGCTAGTTCCGTAACGTGTCCAGGAAATGTCTAACAAATAGCTATAACACCTTCTAAATACTACCAAGTATAAAATCGTTCAAGAGTTATCAAAATAGATTCATCTACCGTCAATTATTTTCAAATTACTATATAATAACTACTTACTCATATGGAAGAACATCATATTCCGTACTATGTTTAGGCTATTCAAAAAAAGTACTTTCCACTAGTTACGCTAGAACTTTCCTAAACTGTAAAACGAAACCATGTCAAGTTCGAGTACCAGATAACTCGGCCAAAGACAACTTGGACCATTTATAAAAAAGTCAAATCAGATCGTCTGGACAGACAAGTCGAATAGTATATAGAGGCATGTCAGATCGTCTATTAGAGAGGCAGTTCGGATCGTCCTACAGACAGTTGCTGATGTATCATTTGATCTATATGAAGAGATATAAATAAGACAATTTGGACCATTTTATGGGACGCCACTCTTAAACAATTCAGTCTGTTCGGCCTTCAACAATGAGTAAAACCGAAGGAATTATAAGATTGAACAATTCAAACGAAAAAAAACTAGATACCTTCTGTATGATAAAACTATAAACCAAAATCAAATATCGCATACAGTTACCACTAATTTACAGATTCCTGACTTAGGACAGACACATATTATAAATAAAGTAGCGGGGTTGAACATTTTTCTGAGCGCTTAACTTTCCCTTGTGACCAGGGACAGTGGTGTTATAGCTATACAAACTGTAAATATAAGGTTGAAAGGGCTCGTCTCGTCTGATTGACACGAGATACAGAAAAAACTAACAACAAGGCAAAAGAAAACACATTACCGATCTAACAGAAAAGTAGTTACTATACACTATTAGTCGAAAGCTCACTACATGTCAACTAGCAAATAACTCATGTTATACCAGACTTTGATATCAATTCCTATACATCCAATGGAATTAGCGTAAAGACGTCATACACAGCCCCATGACCTGATGCAGCAATGCCAAAATATATAAGTATCGACATGATATAGGCCAATGAATGTTCATAACTGTAAAGCTTTACCATTAAGTTATGTTTTAATTTATTGTTAGTAAGCATAACTCCAGATTCTGATAAAACATACAATCGGATCATTTTTTATCTGAAATTACTAGATATTTCGTACCAAAGATAAATTCCATTACACCATAATGTAACACTATTTACTTTTTCTCACATCTTTTAATACAAATTGACTGTCCTGACATTTTGATAGATCTTTTGATAATTTGTTGACAAGCATTGCAACAGACAACGAAACATACAGTAAAACATCAATGATGTAAATTGCAGGGTGGACTAAAGAACTACTATGCTAGCCAGTCTATTAGTTTTTGCTCTGGCGTTAGGAACTGTATTAACAGTACCAGCTGACAAGAGATGTAGTGGTATGGATTCAGCATGCTGTTACATTCAGGATGGGACACAGATAATGGATCTTAGGGACGAACGTTGTCAAATGTATACAAGGAAAAGAGGCAAGCGTATAAGAATTCTTGTGCATTTTATGATAGTCTGGTACATCAAAAGTTTTTACAATATGATAAGCAAGATGAAAATGAAAATGTTTTTGAATATTTTATCATTGCTATGTGTAGCATAATTCACAGATCTTCGAGTAATAAATAGTACAAACGAAAAAATATGAAAACTCGCGATATGCGGCGGGAAATTTTCAAAGTTACCATACCTTCTAATGGTTATGAATTGAATTCTCGTTTTTTATTTTGGAATACTTTGATGAGACAGCACGAAAAATTTAATAAAGTCAACGAAATAAGTCATTCATCGGTCACCATGCGGTCAACTAAGATGCACAAGCTTCCTTCATAGCGAATGAGCTATCGCATTTCAATAAAACACTTTTCATAATTGAATTTATGGAATATTTTATTGATGATTAATAAGGCAAAAACTAAAAAAAAAGATAAACAACACAAATGTGTGATTTCCAGACCTTTTTTTAAATTTTGGATTTACAGGTTTTTGTTTGTTATTAGAATAAAGAAATAAGCTATCCCCGTCCTAGTATACTTTCTTGGTTGTACGAGTATTGCTCGCTGTGTCAAATTAATACATTTATTGAATTGTTTTTGGTAGTGGTTGCTTTGCCTATTACTATATTGTTTTTTTTCATTCAGATTTTCTGGTTCAACGAACAGATTTTAAGAAAAAGTTATTTATTAGTATCATATACTAGGTCCATTTAATTTGACATTTTGCATTTACAGATCTTTTAAAGAAAACAGCATGCGCGGACAAAAACCGTTTGATATTTGAAAATGACGGATGCGAGGTAATGTGCACTTTTCTACCTTGGGGAACCTATGGCTGTTTAGATGAAGAGAACAGAACAGAATGGTTTTACTGTAGAAATGGACACTCTTTGTGGGATTCCTCACCCGGAGCGTGTGATAAAAGACGAGCTGGTTAGTTTTTATAGTTTCTTTAGTTTTTACATAAAAACATATTTATTCATTTCAGGTAACTAGTTCGCAATGTTTCCATAATTGTGAAGTAGTTAACAGATTGGTTGATGTCATATAGCTAATATATCACAAGAACATTTTAAACAATAATTCAGATAAGTGTGTTCTACAGTAAGGATGGACAGCAATGAGTGAAGGCAAATTCAACAGATCAACAAAAAAAGAGTATAATTCATAGAGACGGATAATAGTCTTGCAACAGGACACATAATTACCAACCACAGGTTATTGTAAGGTTCCTTAATGTAGAGAGAGCGCGTTGCATCTGATGGAAAGCTTCATTCTGCCCGAATGTGGCTCTATTATTATGCATAGCGTAGGGTCAATTCGATGAACCCTCAACAAATTTTATCCTTCTGGAAGAGAGAATCGTTTACATAATAAAACTGACCAGTCAACCTTCGGTGTGAATAGATTACATTAGATGCAACAGTAGTATACCGATGTTCAAATCTCATAGAGCAATTACGAAGAGACATATCAAGATAACGAACAAAAACCGAGGGGACTTTATGAAAGAGGGTATGGATGGGGGGTCTCTTCATTTCTGTATTCTTTATACTTTTTGCCCATCATTCACTATTCTTTATATTATAGCACCTCATTATTCTCTGTTCTTCATTTTTCGGTCCATTTTACTCTATTTTTTATATTTTTTGCCCATTATTATCTATTCTGTAAACCCCATCCACACCCTCATGAAACCCAAAAAAGAGAGAGATTGGATGCGACGACAGGATAAGTGTATCCTACTAGGCATGTATCACCTGTTATATATATATTGTGATATCATACAAAATGCATCTCAATTTAAATACTTTAAAACGGTTTGTAATCGATATATTAAAAGAAAAAGATATGAAGTCAATATATAATTCATTGAATTCCTGTTTCCTTATTTTGGTAAATGATGACCAATAACAATGTTTTTTTATTTACAGATACCGACCTTTGTACAAAGTGAAGATTGTTAACTGTTGATTATCATTTTTCAATTATCTCTCTTATATATATATATATATATATATATATATACATGTATATTAAGAATAAATCATTTTTATTTACATTTGACAATACAATTATATTTATAAAAAACGAAACTGACCTGTAATCACGTAGAAAATTGACTTCAAAATGAAAATCCTCCTTTCTCAAAGTTGTCTTATATTCTGCCTTTTCCTGTGCTTTTTATGTTTATATCAATCAACACATGCATTGCTTAAAAGCATTCTGATAATATTAGATCACAGATATATTCTCATGTATCTAAATTGTAAATTTAATTTGCGGTGATAACTAAGTATGTCACAATTTTCTGCCAAAAAAAAAAGAAAAGACAACACCTGATAATTCATTGCCACCCACGCATTACTAATCGTTTACCTTTATATTGTCCCACCGTCTATTGAAACATCTTATGATCTAAAACCGAAACAATATCCAAAACTTGGTGCTCAAGATCAGAGCAGTCATAATCCTTTCCTTGGCCTCGTAGTAGACGCTTAAAATAATATCCTGATATTGTGCTCAGGAAGAGTATTAGCATCCTGCAGCTGAAGTACAAGATCGGTCATAAGTACATGTATATCTTGCAGTTTATGCACAAGACATGAAACACTATGGTGTGCAAAATATGGACAATATCTCATATCTGGACCTGATATAATTGTTTTGTGATAACCACTCTACAATAATAAACAAAAACTAAAAAAACTTAAACGTACACGACCCTCCCCCCTTTTCCCTTGAAGAAAAAAACAAAAACGAAATTGGATCTGACGAGAGAGCTGGTTCAGTATTATCTTTTATGTTTAATCGCGTTCTGTTAGTTGAATAAGAAGGGACCGTTACGGATCTCCAGAAGATACCAAATGGATAATCGAAACTCATAAGGCGAAGAAAGACCTACACAATCAAGGCAAGATGCGATTGACGATGAAAGACTTACACAATCAAGGCAAAAAACGATTGACGATGAAAGACCTACACAATCCAATTAGTTGACCATATCATACCGTCGTTTTGATTCTACCATTTGTACGGGATTTTTTGAGACTTTGACCATTTTTTACTATTGTACACAATAATACCTTGTGAACACAAACTTTTGAGACAGTTTTACAGAAATCTTTCATACTTGGCAGGATTGTTTTCAATCATCTGGTTAGGAACCATATCATACCGCCAGTTTGATTTAACTTTTTTACAGGAGTTGTGGAACTTTGACAGTCATTTTATCATTTTGATATTTATATCTTTATATGTAAATTCCTTAACATGGCAAATAAAAATACGAAAATAAGAAGTTTTGGTACGATTGGTAATAAGACAGAATTCAAGACATCAAAGAATAACAGAAATAATATCACTGTAAATACCATACTTACATTAAAGTCTGCAGAAACCCTTCTACAAATTGAAAGTAATATCTTTTGACAGGTGCACCGTGTTTAAAAAAAAAATATACTTGGAAATCCATTGAGGGATGTTCGCTACTCTTGTTTTTGACTTTTTTAAGGTTTTATCCATGTAGTGCCAATAAAATTTTTTGCCCACAAACCTTACTTTTCTTTTCACACTTATATCACAGATAGTTTAAAGAGCCATTTTTTATATCTAATAAAATACTTGTTAATTTTTTCATAGGTTTTGAAAGATACTAAATGTATTAAAAATCTAGAGAGAATCATTTCCCGCCAAATTTTCAATTGATTATATCTCAAAAACAAGTACAAGGATCATTCATTGGCTTTTGCTTTTTTTAAAGTACTATTGTTTACATACTATCAATTCATAATAGTCTTTTAAAAAAAGTTTGTTATTTTGAAACAAAGGAGCGAGCATCCTTAACAGTGAATAGAAGTCTTTACTTTTGTAAACACGTTTCCAATACTTGTATCATTAGATAAACAGAAAATATCTTGTTCTTAAAAAAAGTGAAAAATCCCAAATTTACAAAATTGACAGCATGGTCAATTTGACACGAATAAGTTACAAAAAAAAAAAAAATCACTACCATATGATTTTTTCTTTATCGGTTACTTTCTTACAGTCATATAAACCCAAAAATCAGGTTAAGAAAAAAAAAAGTATAATTCTAGAACTTTTTGGCTCCTCAGAGGTGTACATCCTTAATCGTTCAACATGATACGTTCGAACTCATCTTGATAAAATAAAATCTAAGTTAAACGCATATCAAGATCAAAGCAGTAGAAATAAATAGAACTGCTATTTCCCGGTTTGCAGGACAAAGCGTTTTTTCCCTATCAATTTTCAGTAGATACACGTTATACATCAGGATAGCTTTTTATTAAACAGTATCGATTTGACAGCAAAATGGATTCAATGTTGAAAATAATTATGAAGAAAAAGTACATGTGCGGTAATTGCAAATGAGACTTCAATCAAACGACAAAAAGAAAATCGAGAGGACAACATACAGTTAAATGCTACGTCCGAAATCATCAAGAGTCAAACAGAATAAATTTCACAGAAACAATCAAATATTTGCCACCAACACTCAATTATTCAAATAACAAAAACAAATCGACTGCTTTTGAAAAAGAAAAGCAATCGTGAACCCTGAAATGTTGATTGGCGAACTTTCTTTACAATTCTGTTATTAAAACTTTGTAGTTACTTCGGTTGATATATTTGTATCGATCAATGTTTTGTCAAATTGTGAGGACAAATTAGACATAACAAACGTCAAGTTAACAGTGGTTGGTGTAGAAAAACAAATAAGGTTTGAATTGTACTTGAAACTTTATTTCAGAATTATATTACAATTTCAAAGTGAAGATCTACAGAAGAATGATATTTTGATTTATTACGGTGAATATCTATAGAAAAAATGATGCAGTGGTGGTGGGAAATTTTGTTTATTTCATCAGTAAACGTAAGAGAAGTCAGACCAGTTGTTTTGTTTCTCCTACGATAGAAGGGAGGCCCTTTTTCTGATATTTGCTTCCGTCTGTTCGTATATCCAATATTTGGCTAGATTTTGGTTTAGGTAATTTACCATGAAGTTGTGGTCACACCAATTTGAAACTAAGTACACATATTTATTAAGATGTTCACTTTTAAAATAATTTTTCAAATTACTGTTTTTCCATGAGTTTATAGTTCCTTGAACATGAAATTGTGATAGTGTGATACAAGTACATTTGCAGAGTAAATGTGTTTATTTACAATAAAGTTGTGGTCACATCAACTTGACATTTAGTACACCAAATCATATGCCAAATACAGTGCGGAAAGTTAGAAACTACAAGTTAAACGCATGACAAAATTTTTTTTTACAATGGCCTGCTTTAGAGAGGAGTGCCAATCCGCCATATAAAGAGTATCACCAAGTCTGAATAAAAGGAATTTAATCATTTTTGAAGTGTGTTTATTCTAACATATGGACGGTACAGATATAAAAAAAGTATTTATATACAGGAACGCGAATTACATTTATATATAATCAAATGTACTATATAAAAATAAAAATCTGCCGTCCGATGTTTTTTTTCTTCTGAAAAGACAGTTCTATAACAATGTACGTTTTTACATTTATATTAATTTGTATAAGTTTACAAACGCTGCTATGATTGATATATTAGTACGCCACAAGGACTGTATTTTGGAAAGTAAAATGCATATATAAAAAAAAACCACGCACACCCGGAAAAATAATAGGACAACAGTGATGGAGATTTCTGTTATCAAAGTTTTGAGAAATTCATCTTTCTCAAACAAAAAGTTTTTCTGTAGGTCAAATAGTAAAATAGTAAGAGAATCAGTCCTTAAAAAAATGAAATCTACTCTTCAAGTGTGATGCGTCTGAAGCGCTCTTCTGGATTTACATACACCGGGAATGCGCTGAAAGCCGAAATTTGAAAGCCAATGATGTAAAAATACCGAACTATTTGAAGAGCTATATGATAAAAAAAGACCTACAAATAATAGCCAAATCCGTAGGAGGCCAAACGTTCGTTTCTTGATAATTTCTAAATTTATAAACGAAAAATTTAAGAAATGTTTGTTATAAATCATGTCAGTACCTAAGTATTGACAACCGAGCTATTAATACACTCGGGGAAAGCTAGTCAACCAGCAGCGGTGTCCTTAAGTTGTGGTTCCAATGTTATGACTTTATTCGTCGTTTTTTTTTTTACTGTTTAAAATGTTTCAAAATGAAACATTGTTTGAAATATGCTAAATCACATACCACAGTATGAGGCACAATGAATAAAAATTACGTTACAATTGCAGAATTGGTCAAATTATAAGGATATACGAAAATTACAATTGATTTGGTCAGCTAAACGCTGCTTCTAACAATTGTGACTTCTGTTTTATCTTAACTTTTTATGTAGGGGTAAAGACACATACAGATAATTTTTCTACAGTAATCCAATATTTTAAATATTCTATCCCACCATAATTTTAGTGTTCAATATGTTCTTACATCTGTATTTGTATATATAGCATTTAAATAACAGCACATTATCATTTACTATATTATTTATAAAAATCTCCAACGCATCGTAAATTATTAGGGGCAGGTGGCCGAAAGGTCTACGTCAAAGAGACAACAACCCGACCAAAGAGCCGTAAACAGGCCAAGGCCACCAATGGGTCATCAAAATAGCGAAAATATCGCATACCCGCAGACGGGCTTCAGCTGGCCCCTAAACAAAAATGTGTACTAGAATGAGAGAATGGACGTCACACTAAACTCCGAAACATATAAATGAACCAAGTTAAAAACACTTACAACACTAACAAATGCCAGAGGTTCCTAACTTGGAACAGGCGCAAAAATGCGGTGGGGTTAAACATGTTTTGTGAGATGGAGTTATGATCCTTAATTAGATATAAGAAGATGTGGTTTGAGTGCCAATGAGACAACTCTCCATCCAAGTCAAAATTTATAAAAGTAAACCAATATAGGTCAAAGTACGGTCTTCAACACGGAGCCTTGGCTCACACCGAACAGCATGCTATAAAGGGCCCCAAAAATTACTAGTGTAAAACCATTCATTCGGGAAAACCAACAGTCTAATCTATATAAAAAAC